CATTAATTAATTTGGTAGGTAAAAAATCTCACTCAACCTTTTCTTCATCTTCCATAATTATAATACCAATTTTTGAAGAACCACGTTTTACTTCACTTTCCATCTCTACTTCTTTCATACAATCTGCTATCCTCATCATACTAACCTAATAAATTTCATTTTAAAACTTCTGTAATCTTTTGTTACTGCAACTAATCATTTTACCTAGTTCCCTTCTCTCATTTAATTACTTTTCTAGGCTCCATAGCGACTCTTATTTTAATCATGATGTGCATTTGTGATTTTACATTTTCAAGAATAAAATCACCAAACAGGGATAAATTTCGTCAACCACTCCACCTCTCCCTCTCTTGTTTTATATCTCAAGAGGTCAATAAGACGTATCTATAACCTGAATAAAATTGATACACCCCACAAAATTAGGAACACCATCATCCAATGTATAAGTTTTCGCGAGATTACGCAATAATAGCTTCCACCTTATCTATTTTCACTTCTTGATGTGATTTTTGACACTTAAAAAATTCTCATTATAAGCCTACATTATCGTGTGATTCCTTTATTAATAATCTAGATGGATTTATTGTCCGAAGTCTGGGCTAATGAAAGGCAAGTCAAAATTGAGACAATTCAAAAATTACGCGAAAATCTTAAATTTCTGTCAAACAAATCTCCAAAAGTCCATATAACGAATAAAGCTATTCGAATACAGTATACTGACAGCATAACCAATAATGGTGAGTAGTTTCATACTTAATTATTCATTCTAAGACATATTTCGAATTATTCAAATTAAAGCAATAACATGGCCCATGTATAAGAATATCAGATGATGTTAGATAGTCAATTTTCAGAAGCCTAATGGTTCGTTTATTTAGCGATGCACATTTGATTAAGGTGAATGCTTAGAAATTTACTACAAATTCTACTCAGCTACTTAGATATGACCTTAGTGGAATAATACATAAGAAAACTTAAGAAAACTTCTCATAAAACATTTTTAATTATAATACTAGATTAACCATACTACCAAAACATTATAGAATCACCACAAAGAATCACTAAGATATATTTAAAAAAACCTCTGAACGTTTAATGTCAAACAATATCAATACAAATGATTTTTATAGAGTTGCTGTAACTGTGTGAAATGGTTCTACCGGAAAGTTTTAGTTGTCATCTCAGATTACATAACTGACAAACATTTCTAAAACAAACAATCATAACACAGTTAACCGATCCGATATCGACAAAACAAGTGGCCACTTACATGTAGAGAAATTCTAATAGTTGCTTTTCTAAAATTTCCTTCTTATGTTGTTCTAAAAGATAAAGTATCAAAATTAAACCATCGAGTTTAAAGACTAAAAAACTAAGAAAATCATTCTCCTAAGATAATCATTTATCGAACATCAGTGGGAGTTTTGACGAAGCTTAGTATATTATGGTCATCTGAAGGACTCTTGAAAATCAGATGGCACTGAATAATTGTTTTTATTTTAGACTGAAAATAACTATTGGTGTATATTTAGATTTCATAAGGGAGGAAACCCAAAGGTTCACAGTTTGCAATCTTAGTTCTGCGTCAAATAAAAGAACAAAACTTTCATACAGCTGGTTCCCTTTATTGATTTTAATAAATCCAAATTAACGATTGAGGTGGGATAATGTGACTTCATTTTATTTCATGGTTTCTCATCAGCCGTATACAGCCATATTCACATTAAAATGTGACACTGGTACATGACACAATATCGAGCAATTCTAATTCTTTACATTATCAATGTCAGCTGTAGGCGTTTGATGAGAAACCACGAAATAAAATGAATTCATATTATTATTCTTCAATTCTCATGTTGACTTTATTCAAGCATGACTCAATTAACTTCACTTATTTTTTATACCCTACTCTTAGAATATGCATATATTCTTACTATTTCGTTTTCCCATTTCATCTACCTAGGTGAACAGAAACCAGACACACAAGAACCTCACCTACCATACTCGTTATTTAGTGCTTTATGCAAAGAAATACGCCGTTTACAATCTCGTTCGGTCAGTCTTGTAGAAGCATTAGACTTATTGAGCACAGGGAGTTACAATTCAGAAAGGCTTGATCATATTAAAAATTTAGTATTTTCTTCAAACCAAACAAAAAAGTAAGTAGAAAATCTTAAAGCTTTTAATTATGGTGAAACTTCTGGCGTAACGAAGTAGCTGATAAGTTCTTTCGAAATTTATAAACACACTAAAAATAGTTTATAAAAACTAACACAGAACAGTTTGAAATACTTTTATGTTCAGGATTGTCAGTCCACAGTGCCACAGTGGATTGTATCTCGGATATTTCAGTATACTGACAAACAAAATCCACACTTAAATTTCGTCAGTTCTTCAAAAAAAGTGAATTTTCGCCTAGACGATTAACTTCTGCTTTTCACTAATACCCTATATAAGGCCTCAGTAATTATATACAAGTTATAATGTTTATTTTAGTAATTTACACATATTTGCCTTGTATCAAATTGACAGTACATACACCATAAATTGGAAGAACATGCCTTTGAACAATGTCGGCACTAATATCAAAAGGAATATGGATACAAGACCATTTAACACTGTTCGATCTATCAAACAGCGTAATAACGGAACTGTATCATCGAATGCCCATTCACCTAAAAGGATGTCAGGTGTTTCCGTAGCTTCCCGTCATAGTAAACATGTAACAATCAGTGATAATCGCAGGCAAAGAATTTCATCATACAAAAATTATTCTGATGGTAATTCTAAACATTTGTTAGTACACGAATCAGTTAATGAAAAAACAGTTTATCCTAACCCACCCACTAGTTTACAAGTAGAAAATTCAGTCCCACCATTGCAACAGCGACATGACCAACAACATGATCTAGTGCAAGAAGAAAAAGAAGAATGTCTACACCAACTACAAGAACAACAGCTCTTTTATCATTATAATTTACCGATTTCTTTCAGTCCACGTGTACAACGCCGCCCAGTTTCGTTTTATTTAAGTCGAAATATAGATAAATTTGTAAAATTGCCAATTCCAGAAGCTGATGAAGAAGAGCAAACTGACGATGACGAAGAAAACATTAGTGAAGTAATGGATGAAGATGATGACGAGGAGGAGCAGTACGAGGAAAAGAATGAAAACGTAGAAGAAGTACAAGATAAAAATAAAGAGCATTGTAATAATCATATTGGGTCCCATAACCATGAAGGGATTGGGGTAGAAACATCCTAAGAAACAAACATTGTATTAATCAGTAATCAGTCTTGACCGCAAACATATTTTCTCAAACTTTTATTTGTAAAATTCGTTCATAATTGAATATTAATATAATACTCAATCATTTTGTATCAATCAAACTTAAGACCTAATAACCTGTGTACAATAAACTCACATTCCTTTTTATTACATTGTAACATTAATGTATTATTTACAAGCCACTTTACGTCTATATTAATCAAAACCTTACTGTAATAACCAAATATTACGTGAATCGAACAAAAAAGGCTGTGTATATGAACAATAAAACACAATTCTGTTTTCATATTACATACATGTAAACAAATGAGTTCTATATCTTCACCATCTGTACCACTCTCAGAATTCTCAATATACAGAAATTCCTTTCATCTCTTGAGTTTCAATTGTTTATACAGCTCATTCAGAAGATGTAACTATTTTTTTATCTACTAATTACTTCATATTCTTCATTCATTCTTCCCTTATTTTAGATTTTATTCTGTGCCCACTAATGCACACATTGATTTCAATGATCTACTCCTATTTCTTATGTCCAAGATTTATTTTTCTCTGAATCCTTACTTTATCCTAACACTTTTTGCTCACTTCCTGGTCGACAGTAATTCTTTTTCTATATGTTGTACAAATAAAAAAACACTGTCATTAAACACAATTTATCGTGTCTTAGACAGTAAGCTCAATAGTTATTAATTCATAATTATATAAATATACATATTTTCTAAATATACTGTTACTAAATTACTATTATTGTTTTGATGGAATAAACTGTGCTCTTCAACTTTTTGATTTTCATTTTCTTCTAAAAACATTAAACTTATTTGAAAAAATGCTGCGGTCTACACACGGTTGATAAACATTGAGATCTCCAAATACAATAGAACTATTGTTTCTCAATCATACAATCGGTGTTTAAAAGTTCGCTCGTCTGTGTTTGCAATGATGAGTTTGCGACACCTGTAACTACTTCGGCGATCCTAGAGATTTTTATCAAATTTTACCTCTTACCTAACATGAAAATCATTTCCTTGCATACAAACCAAAGCTCAATACCAGTTGTGAAGTTATTGGCTTTTGTTTAATATTACTCAGACTAGATCTCTGTTAAAGTAGGAAGTTCTCTTATAAACAGGTTTCTGTTTTCTAGCTTACGTTTCACTGAAGGTTCTATACATAAGTATTTCTTAACCTGAAATATGAATAAAGTTATCGTTCATTTGTCCTCTAAATTGTGACATGGAAACACGCATTAAACTAACACAACAATTTTTGAATAAAAATTAAAGTATTGTGAAATCTAGTCCCAAAATCCGATAATTATCCGAATTAATTTTCATTAAACTGATTATTCTCATAGATTTTCAAAAATTATTGTTGATTTTTAAAACATTTTCTCGGGATTTATTTCAATGTTGTATCAGTTACAAATGAACATTATAAAAAGCAGAATTGATCACTTATTTCACAGACATGAATAACGATTTAAAAAATCGCTCAAAATCTATTAATCTGGACACAAATTAAGCAGATTCATTGTAATAAATGTCTTTTACGAAGAAAAAAAATAAAAAGTTAAAACGTGTTTTACAAATTAAAGTGAAATAACATTGTCCTCTACAATTGCAGTTAAGAAATAAGCAATATTTGAGATTACAAATGTAAGAATATTATTTGTAAAATCAATACGCGATCGTCAATAGATTTAGGTACCTTAATCCGGAAGTGATAAAGAGTTCTCTTTAATCATAGGTTGGTTTAGTTTATTTGAATGAATAAAATGTTTTTCTTTGGTTAGTAAATTACTGCAAGGAGCATCTGTATTGGGTGAGATAACTGTTTCGATACTGTTTTCAAATGGTTCAGAAGCAGTGCTCTTTGTGAGATTCTGATAAACTTCTGAATACTTGTCACGTGAAACAGTTATATTAGCAACATTTGTATTTCCTCCTTGAATAGGGTCCAACGAAGTATTTGCTGATAACCTATAGAATACAAACAGCTTAGTATAATCAATCAATAGAAGGCCAAATATAGTACTAAATTGTTTACATGGAAAACCATGCAGAACATCTCAGTTATGGTAGGATAAAATACCTATTGCCTGCTTCGTCATAACATAGTTAATTTTTATCTATTCACTCGGTTAAATAAACTTTTTAATTTAACAAGCATGTTTCGAGGTTCTGGGCAACCGTCCAACACTTGTTGACAATCCTCTGTGGACGGGATTTCCATATTGGGACTGATGCTCCGTCAATAAAATTCAATGCTTAAATCCTACGTAGTTTCACCCACCTTATACTTAGTATTGTTAATAAATTGAGTACCGAATGAATTACAGATGCTAGCTTAACGTAATGACCGGATTTGTAACTCCATAACCGTTCGACGAAAGTAACCAGTCATCACAGACAATATTGTCCTAATTCAATTAAGAAACTGTTTTACTAACAATCAAAGTAGCTTTAAACAGCACAATGACGCTTGCCATTATAAAAGGTCAATGGCAAGTAATGCGTCACAAACTAAATTATAGATCTTTACCTTTATTTTCCAAGTTGGAAGTAAGCACAATTTGTAGAAAAACACTTGATTCCTCTGTGTACAGCATTATTCATACATATTCCTCAAGATTTATAAAACCATAGGTATGCAGTTTACTCTGCTTACTAATATCTCGTCTCATTCAGAAATAACGACTTTAAATACCCGCATATTATTTAAATCTTTGACAGCCAATATATAAACAATAGGATTAGCTATGCTTTGTGTTTTACCTTGCAAAATGAGATTAACAGTAGAGAAAATTATGAAATAATGAAGCATCCAAAGACATTTTTAAGTTAACAGCTCAGTTAAACACCTGAATGGAAAAGATGGTTGTTAGATGTCGACCTGAGGATTGATGCACTCCACCTTCAGTATTTGTTCATTCTTTAAAACTTCACTTCGGCTAATTCAGCATTATATTGCCAGTGATTTTCACTTACAATCTACAGCTTAAAGTTTGAACAAGCTGATATGTGCTTGACTTTTAAAGTTCAGCAACCTTTGACTAGTAATGATATATGCCTTACAACCGTTTTGTGATAAAACTGTAGTCATTGCCAAAATATAAACCATTTTAACAGTGTACTAATAAATCTGTAAATCAAAATGTTTCCTTAACTACAATGATAAAAGCTTACCGAGATCCAGAGGTATATTCCACTAAACAATTTCCTCCATCGGAACCATTGATATTTCTACAAAATTTACTGACTAACCAATTTGTGGAAATCGTCATAATCAACAAAAACAAAATACAAATAAATAATGGTAAGAATATTTCATTATATGTGAACAGTTTAATGTTATCTAATCGGCAGACCAGAAGAGCAACGAATATAAGAAAAGTAAATGCAATTGATGTGAATCCGATCATTGAAACAACATCATAAATATCTTTCTGAGTGAAACGACTCAATCCACATAACATACAAACTAAGAATAACAGCAATACAATCAAAAATCCCATTATAATCCAGAATGGTATTAACACTACAACCCATGTCCAATTAATATAATTATCTAAACGTAGGGCAATTAGAATGACACATGGAAGATTTAATGCAAGGAATTTTTCACAATCATAAACAGTTAACTCGTAAAACGCTTTTGTGAATGTCAAAAATCCTAAAACGCATAAACAATAGATTGGTATAAAGACTACACACCAATTTAATGCATTTGTTTCTAGTTTAATACATAGAAATATTTGAAATGTGAGTATTAAAACTTGATAAACATAATAGAATAAACAGAATTTGGTTAAATTGAGAGATTTAAATAGGAATAAAATGAGCGAACCCGAAAACACTAGGATATTCCATAACCAAAGTGGCATAAACATAAACCACGCATTTATATGAATATAGTCATTGATTTTTAAAAGGCAGAGTATAAGATTTACCGAAAGAACCAATAAAAATAAAGCTTTTTGCGTACGAACATTTTGTAAATAGTTTTGAGCAATCATGAGGATAGGATTAATAGTTGTATAAATATATTTACCAAATCCCAAACAGATTTAATTAATTACCATAGGCAAGTGTATTTGTTAGAAACAAAAAAGAAAAGAAACGCAAAAGTAACACTGATTGTATCTGAAAAATCCACTTAGGCAGTAGATGGATAGTCAGATCTGAAAGAAAGGAGATAATAAAAAATTAAACAATCCAGGTTGAATAATAATAGTGAGGTTAATTATACGTTAGAGATTCAAAATAATCTTGAAAATGAGAGTACATATAAAATAGTTAAAGTAAAACTTATACCCTAAGTTTAAAGTAGATCCTCATGGTGTTATTTGAACTATAGTGAAAGCTGCGCAGTTAACCAAACAAGCTTTAAAAATTTGACACCAACAAAATCGTTTACCTGAGCTAAATATTTTTTCCATGATTTTATGTGTTAATAGTTTTACTCATTATTACAGAAAGATTTGTTAACTATACAAACTATGTAGTAATCCTCTGAACAAACTTTCTATCCTTTTTATGGTATCGCTTGAGTTAAGACCGCTATTAGCTCATAAAGCCACATTAAGGAGTGATTAAGTTCGTTAGATACTTAATGATAGAGTCTACTGAGAAGTATTAAAACGTATCAAATGTTCTCTCCAACGAAACATATGCAGCAATATTTATCTACCAATGAACTAGCGGAGGACTAGTTAGCCTACTGAAAATAAGATGGATCTCATCACCTTTATAAACTTATGAATGTGCTCTTGTTATTACTTTTAGAACAATACCCTTTTCAGAAACAAATTACCGGACGCTATTTGTTTGGAAATCCACTATAATAAAAAAGAGTCAGTTTCGTTTATCAAAAGTTTTTACTTACGATATAATCTTATTGACTGCCTTTAAAAAACCTTGGTCACAATTCGGTCTACATGATGTCATTTGTTTATTTGTTAACATGGATTAACCACATAAGTTCGTTTATGTGTAATGATCAGGAACGGATATTGGTCGTTTTTTACAAAACAACGTTACCAAAAGAAACATCTTGAACGGCGAATGATTACTATAACGTAAGTACATATCTTGATGACAAACTATCACAACATAACGATTTAAAAGGGAATCCTGCCCCCATAAAAGTAGTCGAGAAATCGAAGGCTGATCACATTGAGAGATCAGTTATTTTTCATAGAATGAAGGAGAGTGAAAGCTCTGAACCCAAAACTCGTTTAGAGCATGACATTGTGCTGATAAAACAGCTACTTAATCAACTCATGCCTCAAAATATCCCCGGATTCACCTTGCTAAAGGTGTACAGACTAGGTAGTCTAGCAAACTTGAAGCTTAATCAATCCAGACTGCTTAAAGTAGTATTCAAGTCTTCGAACGAATGAACATAAATTAAAGGGTTCAGGAGTTTTTATTCGTAAGGAATTGCCGTTGGCAGACCACGTAAAAATACGGGAAGCCGAGAAAGAACTACAACTTAGGTTAAACGCTGGTGAAAAGGACATAAAAGTTGTAAATTTTCGGGTTGTAAGGCTTCGACAGAAAATGATACCGAAGCCACTATGGGTGAAGAACGAAGCCACTTAAATAGGCTTCGGATCTGTTACACTAATGCACGAAGCTTACTCAATAAGCGATCGGAACTAGGTGTACAGATTGACTCTACAAAGCCAGACATAATCGCAGTCACGGAAACCTGGCTGACACAGTCTATAGATAGTATGAAACTTGATTTCGAGGGTTTTACGTTAGTAAGGGCCGACAGAATACAAAAGTGTAAAGGAGGGGGAGTAGCTGTTTTCATTAGGAATGCTATCCCATTTGCCATTATCGACAGTGTATCCCATGAGAGTGGGACGTGTGAATTAGTTAGTTGTCGCTTGAAATGCAAGAGACAAGAGCTGCTAATTGGTTCGGTCTATCGCAGTCCAAGCTGTGAGGTAAATGAGGTCCTGCTAAGCAGTCTCAATGTTTGGTCACAAAGTGGTCGATGTCTAATCCTAGGGGACTTTAATGCACCTATGGTAGACTGGGAAAATCTGCGAACTGAATCGTCAGAAAATTCCTTCGAGCAGGAACTAGTTGATGTGGTTATCACATGTACTCTAGTGCAACATGTGAAAGAAGCGACTAGGTGCGACCCGGACTCTGAATCATCCTTATTAGATCTTATACTGACTCACTATAAGGATGACGTTGCAAACCTCCATTACACGCCACCCCTAGGTAAAAGTGATCACGTAGTTTCAACTTTCATACAACTGTCAATCACGAGCACTCGTTAGCTCAATCCAAACCTAACGTCTGGAAAGCAAACATACCAGATATCATACACTCAGCATTGTTAGTAGATTGGACAATAGACCCAGAGTCCTCAATTGAAACGGCTTGGGACGCATTTCGAAAATTATACTTAAAAGTTACCGCACCCCACATCACTTGGACTATACCAAGGGGGCCGAGAAACTCTCCACCATCGTTCAGTAGAGAGGTCCGTATCCTTCTCCGTAAGAGAAGAAAAATGTGGGATAGATTTAGGTTACTGGGGACTGATGAGACAAAATCTCAGTATCGAGAAGCTCGGAATACCTGTGCCTCGACCCTCCGTAAGTCTAGAAAGTTGTACGAAGAAAAAATTGTTAAGGAATCCATAGAATGTCCTAAACGTTTGTATTCCTATATAAACCAAAGGACAAAAAGAAGAGGAAATATTCCCGCACTATGGGGAGACAGTACTGTTGCATCATTAGTCGAGGACAACTTTGGTAGGGCCCAAGTGTTCTCGAACTACTTTAGCTATGTATATACCATAGGAGCACCCTTCCCATCAGTGCATACAAATGCCCCCACACATACACTGGATAGCGTGACCATTAAACAACTAGATGTCTTTGGTATGCTAAATAAGCTTGACATGGGTAAATCCACGGGGCCCGATGAAATGCATCCTAGTTTACTGGAGGAATTAACTAACTTCGTTGCGAAACCTTTAAGTATATGCTTTAATCTATCCGTAACGCAGGGTCGTTTACCAAAAGACTGGAAGAACTCAATAGTAAGTCCTGTCTTCAAAACAGGTACGAAACATAAACCTGAGAATTACCGACACGTTAGCCTAACTAGTGTGGTTGTTAAAATCTTAGAAAAGATTATTCGGAAAGAGCTGTTTAAGTACCTCGATGAAAACTGGATCCTTTTGGAGAAACAGCACGGTTTCAGAATAGGTTATTCTTGTCTCACTAACTTATTAGTCGCTCGTGAAAGCTGGTGCGCTCTTAAGGACCAAAAGCTACCTGTAGACGTCGCCTTCATTGATTTCAGTAAAGCTTTTGACAAAGTTCCGCACAACCGGCTGTTATATAAGTTAAGAAATGTCGGGATTGGAGGTAATTTATTGATGTGGATAAAAGACATCCTAGTTGCGCGCCAACAAAGAGTACGGGTGAACTCAAAGTGATCTAGTTGGGAAACTGTGCTTAGTGGAGTGCCCCAGGGTACAGTTTTGGGGTCAGTGCTATTCCTCTTGTATGTAAATGACCTTCCTCGTCTCCTATCATCATTGGTCTTGCTATATGCTGACGATGTCAAGATATGGAGAACGATGCGATGTAAGGGTGATAGCTTAGAACTCCAAAATGACCTAAAGAAATTATCTGAATGGTCTCAAACTTGGCAGTCGCCGATAAATACTTCCAAGTGTGTTGTGATGCATATCGGTCATCAAGGTACAGATACATATACGATCAATAACACTGAGCTACCTGTCGTCCAGACACATAATGACTTAGGAGTCATCGTTAGCCAAGACTTAAAGACTACTGCACACTGCCGTGTAATAGCCGCCAAAGGTTCTAGAACCTTATAGTCAATACGTAGGGCTTTTAGTTATGTTGACGCTAAGACGTTTTTGACTTTATATACAGTGTTCGTACATCTTAAACTTGAGTACTGCATACAAGCGGCTAGCCCCTGTTTAGAAAAAGACAGTGAGCTTCTGGAAAAGGTTCAGAGAACAGCAACTAAGCTGATTCCCGGAATAGCGAAGCTTCCGTGTGATGCCCGACTGGCCAAGCTAAACCTTTTCCTGTTGTCATATCGTAGAACTAGAGGCGACTTGATTACAGTTTTCAAATTGCTTAGTGCTAAATCCGCACCTGATATGCCCTCATTTTTCTTGTCTTCCAAAACAGAGAATTTACGAGGACACTCCAAAAAGGTTTACAAGCCAAGAATAAATTACTTGTCAGCTGACTATCGACTTTCCCATCAATACATCAACGAGTAGAACTCATTACCTCGGCACGTGGTTGAGGCTCCATCCGTCGACCCTTTCAAAAGGAAGATGGATCAACTGAGAGGCCGTAATTGTCAGGACTAACACAGACCATCAAGCCTCCTCTCCTTTCCAAACTGAAACTGGAACGAACTATCGTGGTTTTTCCCTAACCTGCAATGTTGGAAAAACAATAATCTTTAAAGTGGAGTACAAATTACCATACCTGAACCTTTCCGTTAAGTTTCATCAAGACTTTGATGCTACCTTCAATATTGAAATCTGATTGTAGTTTATTGTACTTAAGTGGCGGCATATAAAGTAGTTCCCTCACTCTTGACTATATATGAAACATTTATTTTGACTATCACATCTCGTTTGCATTCAAAAAACATATTTATCAGTACAGAGGCTTCAAATAAACAAGTGTTGAAAATTCCAAGATTAAACCAAAAGAGGCAAGGGTTTTTCTTACCAAATTATCCATTTTACGTGGATTATCATATACACGTAAAGGGATTAATGGGAAGGCACAAGAGTTGTTAACTATTTAAAACATTCCTAAGGTATACTCATGGAAACCATGTAAGGCGCAACTGAAATCAAATACGATAAAGTTAGCTATGTCTGTAGCACGTTCATAGTAAGATCACGTACGGTTTATTCAAAGCGGCTAGTGCATATCAGTCACATCAGTCTAAATCCTTGAAAAATGCACGGGATGAA